CAGCCGATAAAACGGCTTTCATCGAAGTACTGTTTTGAATTTGTATTTAGCGGCAGGACCTTTCGCAGTAGAGGAGGTGCTTTTCAAAGGATAAGGCTTGACTGCGTGATCAGTCCTACTAGCTGTGCAGTACTCCTACTGCCTTGGCTGTGATTTTTCCACTCGCAGGACAGTTGCTTTGGTACCATTACTCATTTCTCCATTTGTATCCGAGTATTCATTTCTCCTCTCCCTATTCGCTGTCCGAAAATTGGTTCAAAGGGTTACTTTTTTATTTAAGTTATATTAATTTGAATTCAAAGTCGAAATTCTGAACTCGCTATAAATAGCCTTTCTCCCTTTTGTCGCGACTATAGTTAGCCTTAAATGTCCCCCTTAGAACCTTGGGCACCACTACCTAGAATCTCCAGTAGGCTCTGTGTGCAGCAGGGGTAATTGAAATGGCGGGGTCGATATTACCCCCAACTGCAGAATAGGATCTCGATAAGCCCCCCCCCGCACTCCCACTTATACAGCCCGCTGGTACGAACCCTAACACTTCCTTCTCTTATTCGAATCCCCCAAATTTTGCTACGGGGGGAAGGCAGTTCATAGCGCGACTGGGACGAGAAAATTATCAACGCCATGTTTGACCCCACCCCCTGCACCCAAGCACAGTCCCTTTTGGATTTGCATAGCGATCAATCTACGTTCTTGTTTCGAGGACCTTCGCAAAGATCGTTGTCTAAGAAGTGAATCTGTTTTGAGCTTCACCAAGGTGTATTTTGAGTACCAAGGCTTATAGCGACAGATTGATCTGGCAGTCATGTACTGCTAGTATATGACCAGTTTCTTCAGCCAGTAGGTTAAGGTTTCGATTAAAAGTGCTTCTTATTTCACTGACTTTTCCAAGCTGTAGGGTGCTCATTAGAGATGTTTCAAACCGCGTGACCCTCATGGTGTGTCATGCATTCATCAGTCTTTTATTTGATCTATTTGGCTTTTCTTCAATGTTCTAATGCTGTCAGAACACCCTTTCAGTCACCGAAGGCACTTGTATTATAAGCGATTAAAAGAGGGAGGATGTTACTGGTCCATTAGTGAAAATGAAGAAAAAAAATCCGGGATTGTGCTCAGTTTGGCGGTCCGCGATGTGTTAGAAATGTGCTGAGGTTCCACGTGCCAATTCCTACACCATGAAATCGAGTCGACCATTTATTCATTCGGGATGATGAGAAGACCGACAAAGTAATTAAATTCCAGTTGACATGGTGTCGTTTCGCGGCCGTAGTGAAATCAGTTTAAAGTTTGTGATGATGGCCATTGCTATCGCGTTGTGCGACATTGGAACACGATGTATTGCGATGTAATACCCGCGCTTTACTCCTTTGCACCCACCCAGTGCCATCGCCATCGCTTCGGCTCCCGTGCGCTTAGCTGGCAATAAGTTCATCGTTTTCGCCAGCCAACACTCATTTTGTAAAGCCTCTCTGGCAAATTGTTGTTTGGATTACGGGTGAACGAGCGAGTGGCTAGCGGTCACTCAATCATGAAGCCAATCCTTCCCTCGTTACTACTCTCGAAAAGTTAGTCCTGTTTTTCGTGGCACTGAACTTCAGTCTGAAATGAAGGAGCTGACCACTCTGGATGACTCTGTTTTCTTCCTCGGTCGGACGTTCGAGTTCCATTCATTTGAGTTGTTATGAACGCCATGCTCGTTCCAAAATACTTAAAAGTTACTTCTTCGTACTGCATAGACTTTAGTTTGAAGAGCTCCTTTGTAATCGGTCCTTTTTGCATGTACCTGTGGTCCTCACGGAGACGTTCGGATTTGACCAAGGGAACCGGTTGGGCAGGGCGCGTCCTATGTTGGAGATCCCCAACGTGGGGGCCGATTTGGTCGACGGAGGAAGTGCGGAAGTATACGCCTTTGAGCCGGCTTCACTTACGCTTCCTTCCAACTTCGTTGCGTTACTACCCCCTCCCTACGCTGCCCAGCCTGGGGTCCATAAAATGTTCAATGAGTCCAGTAGGTTCTATCGAAATCCTGGGTAATTGGAACCCAAAACTGGTATGTGGAGCATGTCCAACCGTTAGGGAGAAATTTTGCAGAATATTACCCCTTCTCCCTACCCTTCCCTCACCAGTTCTTCCTCTGGCACGACCACCTTTCTTCTTACCACCTCACTGAATCTTCCTACTGCTTTTCACGGGTTCTCTTTCCGGGGATTCCTCAACTCTTCACACCCGCCTCCTCCAAGAAAGGCTGTCCTCGAGAGCAGGGAGAGGGTTTTAGCGCACCCGAAACACGCGAAAAACCGAAAGAAGTCATTTACCGAAAGCATTTTTTTCGGGCGCAGCCACAACCTCCTTCCTTCCGGCAACCAAACACTCGCCCCCCCCCCCGCGACCATCCGCTGGAGATCCCTCCCGTACGACGTGTCCTGACTCTACAGCTCATGCTCAAGCAAACTGCAGTGGTGTTATTCCTATGTTCTAGCTTCAGCAGGAAAATTGTTTTTTGAGTTCTGGCATAACCCTATGATGAATTCACGAGTGCCTGGTGCCTGAGCTTTGAAAAATGGATTGTTTTCGGCCGTTGTCCTCTAAACAACATCGAATGCGTCGTTTGCACATGTTCTACACGCTCCAGTTACACTTCTGATGTGGTCTTTATTTGTCATCGCTGACCGGGTTGAGTTTACTTATTGGCTTAAGATAAGCTGACAAGGTGTCATGGTATACGAGAGTGCAGTCATCACTTATCGTCTTTGGCCACCTCTGAGAGTTTCAGATCTTCATGGCTATTTTAATTCGCGAAATTCTTGAAAACTCTGTGGTGGATTAGTGGCTTTCAGCAGTGTATTTTATCTACAGCTTGGCCAGTGCTGGGCTAATCTGTTGAAATTTATTTACTTTTAGGCTTCATTTCATTTTTTTTTCATTTTACCTATTGTTTGTTTGGGATTAGTTATTCATGGAATTTCGGATTTACTAGCCCTTAGACCTGGATCTACACAGGGCTTGCTTGGGGTTTCTGGATAGTTTTTGAAGAACTCCTGCCAAGTATATGGGTTTTCGTGGCGGCTATTTTTTTCGCAGAAGGTGGCCCTGCTTCGATTCCCACGGTCAGCCGGTCAGTGCCTTGACCGGACCCTATATTCATATTTTGACCCATGAAATTCGTAAAGGTTATGCGAGATCATTTTATACTTGTTTGTCGCTTAGGAAATACTCCATTACTTTTTAACTTTCCTTGAAAAAAAAGCAATAAAATAAAGTGAAAGTAAAATCACAACCCACATACCGAAAGTGGGACAAAGAGGTGTCAGTGATGCCGTTTTCGATCGAAATATGTTTTCCAACTGTATTTTTGATTGTAAATGTGTTGCATTTTTCCCCTACTTCGCTTCTGGCAGTACATAACTAGCTTGAAAGGTTTCCTGACAATCGATTTGTAACCTGATAGGTACATGGACTCTTACTGCGTTCAGTCGGTTACAGAGGCAGCTATCTGCCTCCGGTGGTTCAACAATATTCTCAAATTGATCAATAATAAAAGTCACTACATAACATTTTAATAATGTTTGCTGTTATTACATATTCATTCATATGTACATCATTATTCGTTAATATGAAAATTAAATCGCATAATGGATAGCGATGCTGACAATATCAATAATTAATGAAATGTTCAACAAAAGTTACATGTTTTATAAAGTTCTGAAATTCTCTATATTTTCAAACTGTATTCCCTTTGGGGGCTTACGCGCTCATTTCTAATAACATGGACTTGCTCTGTCTTTTTAAAAAGTGGGAAATGATTGAGAGTAAAGTTTTTTTTCTAGATTTTTCTTGGGGAATTTGTAATGCGTGTTCAGGACAAGACTGTGCCGTTGGAGTGAGTTTTTGCAGAATACGACCCCCCCTCCCCTCGATCCACTTCCTCATCTCCTGCCTACACTCCCCCCCCCCCCAATTTTTCTCACCAGTTCTCCAGAAAATTTTCCATTTCTTCAAAAAACTGCCCACGAGCGGGGTGGGGGAGTAGGAGGAGACAGTGCAATAGCGCACTTGCAACAGGGAAATCCGAGAGTAGTCAAAAATCATAAGCGTTCCTCTCAAACGCAAATACGATCCCTTCCCCCCCCCCTCCCTTCCCCCAGCGACCAAATATGACCCCCTCGCTGGAAATCTCCACAGCACAACGTGCCTTGTTGACAGTAAGGCCCAAGAACTGTGATTTGTGTGGATTGTTAAAAAAATTTCCGTCTACAAGTATTTTCTCTCATTTCATATATTTTTAACACTTACTTGTACTTGTTTAGTACCTAGCCGGTAGAAGGGCAGATGATCTGCTTACGTGCCATTGCATATTCTAGTGAATTTATGAAAATTGCTTTGGCCGTTGCCTTTCGGTGCCTTTAATTTTTTCCATGTGACAGAAGGTCCGTTTTACGTGGAGACCGACCTTTTTTTAGTTGGACTTCTCATCATGCTAATTGCTGGCGACTAAATGCAATTAACTGTGTCGCAGGAATTGAAATTTTCTCAATTAAGTTTCATAGATCTTGTCAGGCATATACTGGTTTGCCAACGCGATATTATCTACTCGAGTAGGATTTATTTACTAGTTAACTTATCCCTAAACAATAACCAAGTCTACATTGTTTTGTCGGTGCCTCCTGTGCCTGTTCCTCAAGCGCCCTACTCTCGTCTACTGCTCATAGCCTGCATGGCGGCATTGGTAGTCGTCCGCGATGCAATTGGTATTGTGGCGCTCATTAGGTGCAGTGCGTTTGCGCTTCTGGTTATTCCCACCCGTCATCATCATCATCATTACTTAGAATAACTAGTAATAGTCATCATATCTCGCTTGTGTTCAATGAAGATATCGATTTCTTGATATATTACTCTACCATATATTCATTACCGTGCAGCATTTCTGAAACGTACTTATCGATTTACCGTATGATACGAGGCGAAATGAAATACTCAGGTTACCCACATGAGAGAAACCTATGGTGTTTGGATCATTTCTAAGTTTGACATCCGCATTGTCGTTATGCTTAAATGGGACTGATTGTAACAATGGGTGTAAGTTTGGGAAGTAGTTTGAGATTTTGAAAAATTCTCATTTTTTTTCTGAAATTGTGATTTTTCAGCAGTTGTTGCTCAACCTCCACCAGTTATCGAATATGGTCATCAGAATCAGACGTTAATGGTCGGTTCATCAGCCACATTGCCATGTCAAGCGAGTGGTCGCACTCCACCGAGGATCTCATGGCTACTTGACGGAAATCCAGTCGATACTACCAAAGATAATCGCTATAGTCAGCACTCGAGTGGCAGTTTACATATTGCAGATCTCAAGTAAGTACCGTATTCACACAGGTAACATCATGGGCAATCGATCACAATGGGGAAATTCCACTTACCCCGATTTGATCGCGTCATTGAGCTCGTTGAGCGACGGTATTGTGATAGGTTTGACGAAAAGTGGTCCTCTTATACGGGCTAGGTGGGAAAATGTTCCTTCATAGTTCGTATAGCGTGAAAGCGGTTTTGTTTCCAAAAATTTTCATCGTCGTACGCATAATCCTTTGGCGTTTGTCCCGCTTAGTGGCGTGGTCCGCTTTTCCGGTTTGATGACTCCGGCTTTCCCGTTGGAATGTCTCTTCGGGAGGGATGCCAAGCCATTGGCATCCTTCATCGGGATGGGTGCCAACATTTGTCAGTCGAGCCATCCCTCTTCAGGCTGCTTTCCGACCCCTTGAGCTGAACGCCTGTCTTATAGACAGTGCCAGCTTTCGCGAGAAGCACACAGGGGTACCATAGGAGGTCCGCTTTGCAAGTTTTACCAGCTGGTGCCAGACTTGGTATGTGATCTATTCCGCCGCTTGGGAAAAGGTGGACCCAAGGGTAGGGGGGGGGGAATCACGTTCCTCCTGACACTGTAACTTCTTAACAGGCTACAGCATCGTAGTGCGAGACCTATCAGGAGGTCGTTCCTGGTCCTGGGGAGGGATCGTAGTTTGAGAGAAACTTTTCGAATTGTTTTTGTTTTGTTTTGCTGATTTTTCCCCGTCCACGCTCGTTGTATTCCCCTCTAGTTGGCGGCAAGGCTGTCAATTCTTTCCTTGATTATAAGGTGTACAGACCACCGCCCCTCATTCAACGGCGGATTCCCAGTGGGAGGTCGTACAGACGCGCCATTTCACCCATCAAAGTTTGGGCTTTGAATGGTGCAGTCCATCCTTAGCGAGCAAGAAAGGGCGAATTTCTTGCTCATAATATCGTTACAGTTACGGGCGCAGTTCATGGTGGTGGGAGGCATTTTGCCCTTTCATTGCTCACATTTTCTGTCGAGCCATAAGTTTTGTAAAATATTGTGAAGCCATGAAGTAATACCAGTAAAACTTTGTAGAGGCCACTTGCAGCCCTTGTAAGGGATACCTGTCAGCTCTTGTAGTGCAATGAACAGGACGATGGGAAGTAGCCGAAGTGCGAAATTCTCCCGCTCTCTCCCCCCCCCCCCTCCCATCCCAACCTGAACAGCGCCCAGATGTCCAGATGCGGTCATATCGCTTGAAGTTACATACGTAAACTTTTATTCATTTTCCCATTTTTGTTAACTTCCGATTGTTGACGCATAGCACTGACAAACGTGGTGGGTCATTTTTCTGTCTCTGCGCTACAGCATATGGTCTTGGCATCTACTTATTTTTCTGAAGTTATCAGAACACGATTTACACATATTTCATGCGAAATTAAAAATAAACGAAATTACTGAGTGTCGATAAATAGTAAGGAAATTCCGCGGAGATCTTGCAAAACGGCCGTCTGCAATGTGTTAAGCGCATAGTCCTGCAACTTTCAGGATCAGGAAAAGACATGCTAGCAGTATATCATTTATGAGTACCCACTAAATCTAGGAAATTTCCGCACATTTGAAAATCCGTTTTTGGCAAAAGTTTGTGGAATTCTTCCTGTTTTTTTTCTGTACATTTTTTGATAGAACATTCAAGCGTTCTCTTCCAGTGAGCTTTTTGTAAAGGTGTTGATATTATAATTGTTCCTGATTTTTGAATATATACGGGCAAAATGCAATACATTTATTGCGCCGAATGATCAGTTGAATTCACAGGACTAGACACACTCTAAAATACAGATAGTCCGTTTCCCCTCCTTGCCGAAACGAACCATCGTTATTTCGCCAACCCCAAAGCTCTTCTGTGGGGGTAGGGTTGAGCCTGAATACCGTGTGTGTATTGATCCACACAGGAGGAGAGCCTTGTAATTGTCCTCCTGGCCCTCGACATGTTCTAGTGGGCCATCAGCTGGCAGTTAATGAATGACGTTTCACTTCTGTGTGACAGAAGATATGCATCATGGACTGTGTTCATTTGCGTAATATCTGAAGCGTTGGATGTTCATTTGCGTCATATCTGAAGCGTCGGATCTTTGGGATCAGCTGTCTGGAATATGATATGCATCCGAATAGGAGAAGAGTCAGGATCCTCATGGCCCAGGATGGCGTAGCGCGATGGCGTTTCCGAAAGGCTCGTCGTCGTTGTTGATGAGCGATGGAACGTGTGAACGCATTGATGCGTGTAATGTGCGGCTTCGTTTTCGAGCTCGTTAACGGATCGTGTCGCAAGCAGATCGCATGTCATAAGTGGATCCCTGCGACGTTACGCTCACCCAAATCCACAGGATTTAGGGTCCGCTATGGCGCGTGCCTAGTATTTACAAAAGGGGATCGTATACCTGTTGCGGTTATGTGTTTGATAGATGGTTTTTGTGTGTATCCTGTGCTTTATGGCACTCTTTTACTTACGTGTCTGGGCGACAAAGGTGTACCGGTTTGTAAAGCGCTTGATCCGGTGCTCTTTACTGGTTTATGAGTGCAAATAGTATGCGAAGACCACAACAGACCAGTATAGACGATCTATAAGTGCGCTGACCTCGTAGGGCCTGATTCATATGTGATCGAGGAGCAGAGGGAATTCATGAAGGAAGTGCAGGAGCGAACGGATTTTTCATGGAATTTATTGACCCGTTTGTTCATTTTTATTTGAAGCAATCAATTTTTTCAGGAAATCTGACACGGGTGTTTACACTTGTCGAGCAAAGAACGATGATGGAGAATCGACGTGGACAGCCTCGTTGACCGTTGAGGGTGAGGGATACTTTCCTGGCCTTTTTGAGTTCCCAAAATACGAGATCCAGTTGGAATCTCGAATGGTGAATGAGTTATTGATTGATTGATTTTAGATCATAACACCAAATCGGTTTTCTCACGAATGCCGGACCGATCGAATTTTCCGTCAGCACCATCGCAACCAATCGCCAGTAATGTGTCTGACACTGAGGTAACTAATTTCTCATTTCATCTGTATTCTATCTCTGTCACTAGTAATGGGCAATATTTCCGTCATTATTTTTTCAATTTTATAATTTTTCTCCGTTTCAATACAGTTCGCGACTTTCAGTTGGCAGTTTTTTCCTCGGTGTTTCTTCATAGCTAATAAAACGCTTTTCGCTTTGGAAATTATATTACATGCGTGGGAATTGTTCGAAAACTCCTTTTTTTGCTCAAAAGAAACTTTGGAAATTTATCTAATCTTTTGGTATTTTTTGTAGGGCAATGTTTGGAATTTTTTGATTTTCTGTTCTATGAGACTTGTCGTAGATCGAGAAGACCATTCGATACTTACCTATTGCATACTGCTTGAAAGGATAAAGTCTCTCTTTTGATCAATCCTCTTTTGAGATGCTGCACTCTACTTCTTTTCGGAATCGCAGTGCCTTATTGAATAAGATGTGGCCTCGAGAACGACCTGCCAGAGCCCCAACTCATATTCGAGCCCAGTGTTTTTGTCCTCTTGGTTGAATCTGGTGCCGAGTTGCCGTCCCCAAAGAAGGCTTGGTTAGCCTGGGCCCACCATGGTGATAAAGTCACCTGTTTTGGTTTTCAGTACTGTCTTTTTGCTCCCCTGTGCCGGACGGAGGGGGTAGTGGCAAATGGTGTTTCATTATGCCGGACGGTAGTGGCAAATGGTGCTTCATTGCTCCGTCCAGCGAAATTTTCTATCTCCTATGGGTTCAATCGAAACGGTGTCAGACTTGTCTGGGAGACAGCAGTTTGTTATGTGGGCCGGACCTTTTCAACTTAGATTCTGAATCAAAGTTAAATGCATGGCGTATCCCAGAACGGGATTGCTCGACGCCGGTGCTTCATGAATTTTTCCGTGTTCAAATCCTCGAATCTGCTCGAATACTTTCATTCAGGTGGATTTGGAATGGCGAGCTCCAGAACGAAACGGTGGTAGTCCAGTGACCGGCTACATTATTCAGTTTTTCAGTCCGGAAGTAGGGAGAGGTCGGTAGAGTTTTCTTTTTTGTGACAACTTGACGGTGTAATCATAGAATTGGCTTAATGTTGGCTTTTCAGACTTGGCTTAATGTTCCGGACTACGTATCGGGCCCACGATATCGTATCAAGAACCTGAGGCCGTCACAAACCTATGTGTTCGTTGTAAGAGCGGAAAACGAAAAAGGCATCGGACCTCCTAGTCCTATTTCGTCGGTTGTGAACACCTTGCCAAGAAATGCTCACTGTAAGTTGGAAGGACAGTTTCGATACAGGCTTGCTTTAATGTTGTAACTGCTTAGTTCTGCTGCAGTCTACGATCCTTGAGTTACTGAAAAAATGCTTGTTCATGGGCAGAAAAGTTGACCCCATCTTGGACTACCAGGACTTGTCGCTTACTGGACTTGATTGCTAACTGTTACAGCAACAGGGCCGCCCTCTGTCCCCTCTCTGCTTCAATCGCTTTTATACTATAGCTTACTGAGTTCTTGCTCAGTGTAATTCAGAGGATAGCCGCTTCATTACAACTCTTCATTACTACTTACTTCATTGCGGTTTGGTAGAACTTTCGAATCATGAGCCGTTTTCTACCCTAAAGTTCTACTGCAGGAAACCCAGACTTGTCGTGCATTGTATTAGCAGAGTGAATCCATTATTAGATTTCTGAAAAGTCAAACCATTCAGAGCCACCCTCACCACCGCTGCACGAAGCTTATCAAGAGTCTTGCGTGGCCGGTGGGAAAGAAAGTCGTATTTGGAGCTTTTTTCCAAATTTTTTTCCAATTGTTGACCTTCGTTGTTTTACACGCGCTACATATCCTCCGCTAGACGATAAAATTTTCGGAATTTGGGTACGCTCCATATCCCGGAGATGAGCAGGGCATGGCTGTATGCTTCATTTGAACGCAGCATTGGCTGCCCTTTTGGTGGAATATTGCCACTTCAAAGCAATATATCATTGCCTAGCGCAGTACGGGGTGGCAGTTATCTAAGATGGAACCACAAAAAATGCATCCTATCCCATGTTTAATTGAAGAACGCGGCGAGTATGAACCCTGTAGAGGCCTCTTCACGCCTCTACAGGGTTCATACTCGAGTAGCTCCATAGGAGTCGTGAACGGTTTGCGGAGAGGGGCATGTAAGTGCGGAATCTGGGAGAAAGTAGAATTTCCCTGCTGTTTTCGACCATATGTATCCCAGCAACCTCCCCACCCTCCCCCCCCCCTTTCCTCCGCCGTTTACGACTTGGAGGATTGGCTATGGGGTGTAAGGATGGAAGCATGAGCTGACTCCACGGGAGAACTGCAGCTGCTACTAATTCTGCTCATATCCATACTGCCCTCTTATCTCAACGATTCGTCTTTTCAACGATATTCTGAATTTCAGTGTCAACGGACGACCTGGAGAATTTGGACCTCGAACAAGCAACAAGGCGAATCACCTCAGAACAGCTCATCAAACTTGAAGAAGTAAAAACCATCAATTCAACAGCGGTTCGGTTGTTTTGGAAGAGAAAGAAGATCGAGGACATGGTTGAAGGATATTATATCAAATGGCGAGGTCCACCAAGAAGTAATATAAACCAGTAAGTTATAATTATCTTCTCTTTAAGGCTTTCTTACTTTCAAAGTAATTTCGAGTGATTTCAGATGGGTAAATGTTAGTGGTGCACATGTGGAATCGTACGTTGTCAATGGCCTAATGCCTTTTACGAACTACGAATTTTTCGTCATACCGTATCATAAATCCATTCAAGGTGCCCCTAGTAACTCCATGGATGCTTTAACAGCTGAAGCTCGTAAGTGTTTACCTGAACAGTAGAATTACAACGTTATAGTTTCTATTTTCTTTGTTTTTATACAATTAAATCGTTCCCGAAAAATGAAACACCA